GAGGTCATCAATTTGGTGCATACTCGCCTGGTATGATAAAGGATGCATTGGCTGACTACTTCAAGCCTTTGTATAGGCCATACGCTTTCATAACGTCACGGTTTTGAGTGGAACTCGAATGCGGTGGCGAACCCCGAAAATGGGAATGTTTACCAGAAAGGGNAAAGGCGTCATTTCCTTGCAACTTTTTTTTTACCCAAAAGCGATTGTCGTCAATATGTTCACATCTGTCTAGACTTGCCTTTCCATTTATCGACATCTGCAGATGGTTTTTCTTTGTGTTTCACCGCTATGTTACCATTTACCAGTAAGTCATATGTAGTTGTGGAGGAAAACAGGGCATGACTCATTTGCAGGGTAAAGGCGTCCGCCTTGTCTACCGAGGCATACTCGAATTACACCTTCTCATTTCCTAGAACTACTCCGATAACTTTCCATATGTACTTAAGAATGGGTTCCCTAACCTAACCTGCATAATCCAGAAGAGATGAGCAGTTTTTGACTTGTTCAACGTAGGAGGTTTCTGTATTTCTTCTGACACGCGGTACAGGGATTGGAAACCTGGTCGATACCCGTCCAGGAAAAACAAGGTTTCCATCTCCCTAACTTTCCCTGACTTTGTAACGTCTGATAGGATGAAAAACTAAGTTGTGTATCTGCTGCCAGTGTAGCTTGTTGTATAGGCCAGAATGGAGCTCGAATGCGCAGAGCCCATCCCAAGAACGGGATGGAACAATGGCAAAGACGTTATCCTTTATCCTTGATTACGTCTCAGTTTTATTGATGCACAGATTCATGAATTCCACAGTGATTAATGAGTGTGAACGTCATGTCTGTCGCCCATCGTCCCTTCTTTGGAAAATTTTTTAAAAAAATCAAATGCATTTCAAAGTGCCAGCCGCAAATTACATACTTCACCCGGATTTAAACATTTTCCTTTTTTCTACTCTATTCGAATTGTGTGAGAGATCTTCCTAGTGTGAAATTGTCTGAAGAAAAATATTTGTGAGCGGAACACCTCTTACTGATCTTCGTTTTATGAGTCATCCCATTGATTGATCGGATTCAGTGTGGAAAAAGATGAGACTTGATTTCTGCTATGAAGTTCTCTTACTTCCTATGTGATCACGCTGGCAACTCACTCATGGAAGAGCAATATATCAATGATTCCCCCAATCGGTTTGAAACCTGGGCAACTATACATCGGTAAAAGTTAAATTACTCATTAGTAGGAAAGAATAGGTGTATGGAGTATTTCGTGTACCATAGGATTGGAGCAACTCGGAAAAGTCGAAGATGGTTTTCGTTAGCCGAGCTGGCGCGAGCTTACTGACCGTTCTGTGAAGAGAGTTAAAGGGACTTATCTGTAGATTGAACACCTTGATTACCATGATTCTCCACAGCAATACGACCATGATGTTGAATGACATTGATCGATTCTATTGATTGTTTGCCTCTGTAGTTTCCATAATAGACGTCTCTGTTCATGGCCCATCTTCTTCAACAAACTTAAAGCTTTGTTTTTCAGAATGCAAAGTGAAGATAGGCCTTTGGACCCCGGAGTGGATCAGTTAAAGCAGTGGCGTGATCGTTGCGCTGAAAAGTTTCCCGATTTGAAGAATGCTCTTGACGAATGTAATGCGCGAGTCACTTCCCGTAAGCATACCGAGGAAACATGCAACCAGGTTGGCAACCCTGATGAACCTTTTCTCCACTGAAATTGCCATCCCCTGACAGTGATTATCTCTGTCTTTCTTTCTCGGTGCTTCACAATCATTTTGAAAAATAATCTTTAGTAATAATCTTTATCATACTGTTTAGACAAAAAAATTTGACACGTTCAATACTACTTGTTGTTGTGCCGTTGCCTATGAATACTGTTCTGGTGACCCCTATTGGAAATTCTGGAGCTTTGATACGGCTCTATGTATATCTGTCAACTACGATGCATATGTATGTACGATTAACAGGAAAGGGGTAGTAACGAATTACGGATCAACATCCGCATAGAACAACCAAGCCTTCCATCCCTCCGAGGTCGACTGATTGGTACCAGATTCGTGTGGGAGGACAAAAGCACAAACTTGTTATTCGGACCACCGCGTGTATTTAGTGTGGACCATGTACGCGTTCAAAACCTCACTACGATTCTGAATGGAAGTCCAGTGCGGGGTCGCATCCATTACACAACATTCCTCAACGCCTGCCTTCAGACTTTATCCCTTTGAATATTTCTTCTTAACGCTTCCTAGCCCTTAAAATTCAGCCTTCGGTCTGCATTGAACTGATTCGTACTTTGAGCGGATTCCCAGATACATAGTTATGCAGTTTAGTTCAAGCGTCTCATGATTCATGGTCATAGTCGGTTCATCTGTATTTCAATCTTCATTCGAATTTTATAATCATTTCATTATATTAACCCTTTCAGGAGATGTTCGACTTCGTCAAACACGTCGACAGATGCGCCATACGCAAAGCATTTGCTTCGCTCAAGTGACTGCAAATAAACGGCTCCGTGATTGAAAAATGTCCCTAGGAAGTAATGCACAATAATCGACAATGAATAAACTTGTTATGTTTTATGTATTGGTTCAGAAACAAACATTTCCAGGATTCTTATTCTGTATTCGATTTTTCGAAATTATTGCGTCTAAAGTTTATTATGGGCGATATCGGGCCCAGCTAGCTGCAGTTGGTGGATTACTCACGAATGTATAGAAAAATGGCCATGCATGCAAGAGTGTCCGCGTATTTTCAACTTCTCACATCTGTGCTGAGATGGCCCCCAAGGCAGTACCGAAACCTGCAGCCAAGAAGAAAATGAATTCCACTACTAACATACTCCCGAGCACCGGAACAAGAGCTCCTGAAGACGGCAAAAAGGATGGAGAGGAAGTCAACAGATGTACCGATGATGGAAATGGCTCTTCAGAAAAGGTAGATGATGTAAGTGATTTTCAGATAATTATAAAACATTAGAAAGATTGTACTTTGTTATTACTCACTCACTACCCAATTTCGAGTTTCATTGTTTTTCGTGGAAATGCTATGCACACCCATCACCCTCATCATAAATAATGTTGTCACATTGGAGTTGGAAAAGGGGCGGTTTAGTCCTCATTAGAGGCTTAGATGGTACTGTGGTGTGAATATACTTTGTGCAATCTTGGCTAAGGCCCTACATTTATATCTGGAACATTGATGCGCTGCCAAGCAAGATTCACTGAGTGTCGGAAATGATCCTTACTGAATATGAGATGAGTTCACGAATGGCTGAGGAAACGTAGGCAGACGGTTATTTGCTCCGATAGAATGTGGTAAAAATGAACTAGACGGTTCTTACATTCCAAACAACCCAGAATTTCCATACTATTTCGTTCCTGTAGATTCCTCTCCTCTGGAAACAGAATTTGGCTTCTCATTGTGTAAAATGAGCTTTAATTCAACCCGATCCTTAAAACATCGTTCCCTTGAAAAAAGCAACCCTCCCAAGAAATGGGGAGCAAAAGTTGGTGCAGACTTCGCTATCAAGCAACTTGTAGGGTATGTTGGGTAAAGTACAGCATGTACATGCATTTTCGTTCAGCTCTGAATGTTGCTCACTTTCTAACTTCATTCAATAGTCCTTGGGGCAGGCCTCATTGCCGTTTTCTTATCTAGGTTGTCGAGTCATTGGTATCAGAAGTAATTTCGAAAGCTGAAGCTGATTTAGTTGAAGGCTCGAAGGAAGTCGCAGCCAGTATTGGAACTGAAAGGCGATTGGTAAGCATTTCATGTGTGAATAGTCCAAAGTAGAGAGATCACAGCATTGTCTGGATTCCTTTGTTAACTGTTACTTCTGTTTCTTTGCCGCAGTACGCGATGCAGAATTCTCTTGAGGTTGGTGATTTGTGGGCAAAACGACAGCCTAGGACGGGTCTCGGGTACCCATACCTGTGTTCCCACAGGTCGCGAGGACAAGCGGGGTCTTGGTAGTGTGATGGATGAAGAGCACAGTGCTCGGAGGGCACGATTGTAGGTTCGAGTCCCGTCCGAGCCCAAGGGTTTGCCCACAGATTGCCAACCTTCCGATGCTCAAAAATGTTCCTTGATAGCATTCAATCATTTATTTCTATAGAAAGTGGTAAACAGTTGCATATGTTGCGAACTTGGGAAGCACCTGTGCCATTTCATGGTTGGAAATTCAAGTTTGCAAAAAGCTCTATGCTTTCGAGGTTTCATAGCGTAAGGGACCATTACGGCAAAGTTGGACTGTTATAAAAAATAGCTCGAGGGAGGAGGTGGTGTACAGTCAAGTAGCGCGCCATATCACATCGGCATTTTTTGGAGACCTACCGTATCAACCCTCGAGGTCATCAATTTGGTGCATACTCGCCTGGTATGATAGAGGATGCATTGGCTGACTACTTCGAGCCTTTGTATAGGCCATACGCTTTCAAAACGTCACTGTTTTGAGTGGAACTGGAATGCGGTGGTGAACCCCAAAAGCGGGAATGATTACCAAAAGGGAACGACCGAGGCTTTATTCTTTCAGCGATATGTTACTTAATTTGAATAATTGTAATCTTTCATAATTTGCTGCTTTCCCATAAACATTCGCAATTTTCAGTCGGAACCACCTCATCGACCGGACGACAACGGTGCCGTGGAAGAGAGACGTCGTCGTATGTCAGTTTGCATGACATCCGAATAGGATAGAATTTTTATACTGTCGTTCGGAAAACTTTTGGAAAGCGTGAGAGCTCAGGAGGTTGAGACAATCATTAGTTATGCATAGAGATGGTCTTTTGGCCATTACATTTGACGTCCTTCCTTGTGTTATCCCTCCGTCTGTTGCATTCAGCAGTTTTGTTCGTGATAATAATAGATTCTTGATGAGATACATCATTTTTCTTGCTCTTTTTCACAAATGCTACGGTAACTGATGGCTCTACGGTTTTTGGGTATCATGCAGAGCTGGGTGAGCTTATTGAACTTTGGGTCTCTGCCTTCAGCCGAAACAGCCAGAATTTCTCAGAAAACCTTACTGCATATGGAGACCTTGGCTTAGAAAACGTATACTGATAGGCTTTAATTCCGGACTAGCTCAGATTCCTTTACCGGTTCAGTGAGGGAACGTTCAGTTCAAATCACTGCTTTCGTTTAAAAAATCTTTAACTCACGGTTTTCCTTCTGCAATTTCAGCGAGAGAGGCGATTCGGAGGCTTATATTGAAGAAGTACTCAAACACGTCTTCACTGCTCCAACATCTACTATCATTCCCACGAGGCCTAAGAGGTCAGTTTCCAACCTGTGATCACTGCAGCTAAAAAATTCGGCTCTGTTCCGGTCAATGTGACTGCTACCCGGTCTGGAAGTGGCGGTTGAGTATGAAATTTAAAGGATAAAGTTTTTGGCGTTAAACAATCCCGTATGAGGGATGCGCCCTGCACTCGACTTCCATTTAGAATCGTAGTGGCGTAATGAGTGCGTATGTGGCCTATACAATGACTTGCGGTGGCCAGCCGATGTACAAGTCAGTGCTTTTATCCTCCCAGACAAGTCTGGTACCAGTTCACCAACCCCGGAGGGATGGAAGGCTTGGTTGGAATAGGCGGGCTTCGATCCGGGATTCGAACCCCTGACCGTGCGTGTGATATAGTGCGCCACTTGCCACTATACCACCTCCGCCCGGCAGTTGAGTATGTAAGACTAAAAAAAGTGGAACCAGCGTAAAGTTGTTCTTCCAATTATATCACATGAATCGACTGCAGCCCTTTCGGGATGAAGCTCAGGCTGNCTCAGATTGGTTCTGTACTACATAAACAGTACCGTGGCCAAGTCCTGCTTGCAGATGTTAGGGTGGAAGGATCAGTACCGTTCTGTTATCCCGATTTTTGACCGCCCCTTTCCCCTATCCTTCTCGTGCTTACCGACCCTAAACACCAGGAGTACGTCCTTTCCGCGCGTCCGTAGGAACCAGGTCACCACGCCTGAGTCGCGCGGCGCAGCCCGCTCGGGATGACATTACAGTATCACTAAGTGTCACTGGAACGAATGATTTGCTTTACTTCGCGTCATCTTCACTTCAAACTGACTGCAGTGGACCGAGCGCAGACAAGTGCGACGTCTGTCAAAGATCGCAGGCTGACACGCCGCGTACGACGGCTGCGGCGTGGCCTAGTTTCGACGGACGCGCGGAACGAAGAGCACTCTACACGCCGCTACTCCTGGTAGAATCAAGTCTCGTTGTGTAAGGGATATGAGATTCAGCTCGGAACTTCTATTATACGAACTCAGTTTCTATACGAGCACGAGATTTAAGATTTGCTCAAATATGGGTTAAGACACTGGGATCAGGCATTGCTGAGAAACATGAGTTGAGCAAGATCTAATTTGGTCAGTTGTGGTTTTGACACATTTGCAATCCCATGAGTTTGTTGTTGACGATTTTTGAAGGACCATTATTCCGTTTTTTAGTGCGTCGGTAGTTGTTGTAAAAGCTGCGGCCCCAACCTCAGACAAGTCATCGAAGCCACCAAGACCAGTGAAGATGCAAGGTGACCGATAATCTCTGATTTAATTTTGTTCACCATTAGGGATTCTCAACATAACAATATTCTGGACCTGACAAGCTTTGTTAGGTGCTTTTGTGGAGTTCCGTTGTGGAAAAAACTCATTTTCCAGAACCTCAGCGAAATACGGCAAGCCCTGCTTCGAAACCAGTGACCCTTGCAAAGTCCTCGACGAAAACCCTTGCTGAAAAACCGGATTCAGTGAAAAAAGAAGAAGCAAAAAGATCTGCTGCTAAAAAATCGGACCCAGTAAAAAACGAAGAAGCAAAAAGACCTGCAGAAGTGTTGAAATCATCTGTCCAAGGGCAGGAGCAAGAACAGAAGCAAGCGCAGCCGCCTGCCAAGACAAAGATGGCCAAACAACCTTTGAAGGCTGACTCGAAAAAGATTCCAACCGGGACTGATACTCTGAAGAACGATCCAGTACTTGCTCCACTGAAGGAGGAAACAAGTGATGCTGGTCACATTGAAACTCGTAACTCAAAGGTAACAAAGTGGATCCATCTTTTGGAATACCGATTAAGACTTTCAAAAATTAAGGCTCCACTACGGCAAAGCAGCACCAGTAAGTTGCAGATGAGCGTCAGCAGTAAACGTCATGATGTGAATAGCCAAAAAGGTGATGAAGCAGGTATGGTTGTGACTTTTTTTCAGTCCCAAACGGCGCTTCGAGGGAAAGGATAAAGGGAGATTCATTAGGTGCTAATCTCTTTGGAGTAGGTCAAGTACCGAGCTCAAATAGAGAATCGTAGTTTTACAGGTTCAATTCTGTTGTCTATATTTGCGTTCTAAACGGGGACCAGAATCTCGCAGAGGGTCAACTTCATCTTCTTGACTGGGGGATAGCCCTCTCGTACAAGAAGAGGAAGTAGTCGTAAGGTTTCACCTATTGCCCTTTCATGTAACATATTTGCCTCTTTTCCTTTCTCTTCTTTCTTCCTGGGCCTCTTCTAGACTATTTTCCCTGTTTATTTCTAATTATATTCTTTCTTTCCTTCTCCCTTCCTGCTTTTCCTAGTCGAAACAATGTCACTAGCGGTGGAATGCTAATCTTTCTTATCAATTGGCCCATGTGCCAAAGGCCTATGTGTGATACTCAGAAAAATTTAATGGATTAAATGTTAGTGGTAGATAAAGTAGCTAGCACCGATGAAAATACATGTGGATCGTGAGTTTTTTTTTGTTTGACGTTTAGTGCCCAATGCGACAAAATAAAGGGACCTCCCACCATGGCAAGAATGGTTTCCGAAACTTGTTACACTTACGAATCTGTGGCCCCCAAAAAAGCCATACGAGGCGTTTTTTGAAAAAAAAANAAAAAAAAAGCCTACATAGAGCACAGCAAGGGCTAAAGGAATGACAAACTGGTAACCACACCCAGAAGTGGTTGCGTTTCGACTTTCTGAAAACATTAATGGAGCAAATACTCCGTAAGTTCGAATGGAATGACAGCAACAATAGCAAAACAACAACAACCAAAAAACAAGGTAGAAAACAACATCATGAAGGTCACAGCTATACGAAAGTAAGTTGCATATTTGCACCGCATGCAGTTCTGATCCCTGGTGATGGGGGAAAGCAATTTTAGGTGGCAGAGATACTGTAGCCAGCTTTTCACAAAAATGCTTAAGACTGAATTTTCTTCAAAACATCGTCTAAGACGAGGTGGATTGTGCGTACATCAATCATACCCGACAGTCAAGCCTTACATTTCACGGAATGAGCGAATCTTCTTGCTTTCTTCACCATCGATGCTACGCTTCGCACTAAAATTTCTTTTTCAACCCAAAAAAATAACAGCCAACTGTGGTTTAAGAGTAGAACATACCCTTCAAATTGCCACCTTAATGTTGAACATTTCCAAGTAGGCAATTCCCATGATTACTTTCTACGAATCCTTTCTTCGTTGGAATTCTATCTTGATTAGTTATTAGGTACAAGTCGATCCAAACGGTATTCTCCGTCCAAATAAGCCTCTAGTTATGTTGCACACGAGTATTCAATTTACTTACAATTACATTACATTACATTAGATCTTTTTACCATAGGAGGGTTGGACCGATCAAAGCCACTAACTCTTATGTATCAGCAGAACGACTGTTCTTGCCCTATTGAGTGGTAGTAAGAGGCGAAGACGTTCGAAAGATAAAGTCGGATGCTTGATGATTGAAACTTCCTAAATTGTGCCGTTGTCTTGATAATGAATCTGTTTTTGAAGCTGTCACAGCGGCTGCTCTAACGAAAGGAGATGACAGTCGAAACAAAACGAGTAAGCCGACGGCTCCGATTAAAGTAGCTGTGAAGTCCAGTGCTGCTTCAACCAAAACGAATGTAAAGAATCCTGTAGCCGTGAAAAGTGAGTTATCTGACCTTTTATGACAATCTGAAACAGTCCAGCAGACAGGTTTGGGATACAGATCGCGTGGCCTGAAAGGTGTGAAGAAAGTAGATTCGATCTGGTACCATCGTCTTGATATCCCTTTCACGTCCCGCGAACATTCAAAAAGGAAGTGAGTAATGGACAGCTGGGGTGAGCAGCCGATGGGCCAGATTTGAAAACTGGCATCTTATTGATTTTCATGGAATCGGAGTGAAGGATAAAGTCTTTAGGCGTTGATGAATCCAGTTTGAGGTATGAGCCCCCGCATTCGAGTCCGCTTAGAATCGTAGTGGCGGACTGAATGCGTATGTGACCTATACAGTTGCTTGCTGTGGCCTGCCGATGTTCAAGTCAGTGCTTTTTCCTCCCAGACGAGTCTGGTAGCAAATAGCCGACCACAGAGGGACGGAAGCCTTGGTTGGCTTAGACTAATATAAAGCGGGGATTCTAACGCGTGATAATGCGCTAGTACGCTTATTGCCACTACACGACCTTCCCTTTTCGGAAACTCTAAATAAGCATGGCACCATTCACACTGACGCGATGAGAGGAAGGCTCAATCAGCTCGTACAGAGCAGCAGATCGTGGGTTGATGGAACTTTGAGGAATGGACTGAACTTGGAACTTTGATAATGGAGAACTTTCAAGTAGAGAACATTCCGCCGTGGCCACAAAACTCTCAAATCTTTGGCGTTGATCAATCTTTTTTTGGGATGTGCTACTACATTCAACTTCCATTAGTGCTTGTCTGAATGCGTATGTGCCCTATAAAAAGACTTGCGATGGCCAGCCGATGTACAAGACAAGGTTGGTACCGATTAACCGACCTAGGAGGGGAAAAGGTTTGGTTGGTTTGGGCAAATATCGATTTGAGACTCGTTTCCAAAACCGTGTGTGATAATGCCCCACTTACCAGGTTTCATGTTACTTACATATGGCAACTACTTTTTGTACGTTTTCAGGAGCAGCACCACCTACAAAAGCTTCAAAGCCGTGATTCATGGCGTACCAATCGCAATGGCGTTGCGTGGATCATAAATGACCATATCCATGGTTTTGCAACATTTCAACATTTATTTATTGTTTTTAATTTGTATAAACGCATCGATAACAAGTCTCCACGACATCTGAATTCGTTATTGCTAAATTGAAGAACTACCGTGACAGAAACGATGTATCAGAAGCTGTGCATATGGAGCGTGTTGGGTGAATGTGAACGTTGTTCCGACATTTGTGACGAATTTTTAAAAAAAACCTTTTTTTGCGAGAAATTTTATCTCCATAGCTATCACAGTACATAGCTGCACATCTCCTAGCTCACTGAAGTTCTATGTTCCCCGTTAGAAAAAGTTGAGACGAAATTTAGAGTTAACTGCCTTCAAATTTACGCCTCCGAAGGCAGTAAACTCTATACTATTCGGGTATAACGGTTTCGGAGGCAAAAGCATGGCCAAATGGATCCAAAATTGCTTTCGAATCCCTAGAACTCCCAGGTAAACTTTACGAATCTTCATCCGACGTGTGAAGAACTCGTGTACTCTCCTCTGAACACCCACTCAAAGCTCAGAGACCTAGTTAGTGCATAAGATGATTATTCACTGGAATCTGGACCTCGTTAATTAGTTCCTATTCTTGTTTCTTTAATCGAATTCAAAGTTCCTATTCTGCTTCTTCAATCTGATTTGCTTAGAATGTCGTTTCTTCGTAATGAATAGAGTAATATGTCAAGTAATTACTATTCTTCCCATTGCACAGTAAAGGACATAAAAACATAGAATTAGTGAGGAATGTGCGATTATTCCCTTCGCCTCCTTAATTCTGTGAAAAGGTTAGTTCCTTCATATGCCTCTTCCATGAAATCTAGCATGACATTCAAGTGAATTTGTAGATTTATTATTGTTTAGTGATTTGAAGGCTTCCCTATTGTAATGATTGCTAGACCTCTTCGGTGACCCAGCTTTGGTCAAGCTCTCGTAGTCAATTCTAACTGAGTGCTTGATTTCTGGGCCAATGTCGAATGATGGGGCAGCTTCAAAATTTCGTGCACTGATACGTGCTACAGTAATCTTTTCACTTATCTGGAAGCTTTCCTTAACCACTCGACTTGGGGATGAGGTGAAACGGACACTGGGAATCTAAGGACTCGGAAATTTCATTCGTTTTCTTTCTGACACGTAACCGTGCGACTATTTCTAGATTGGTTGATGTCCTCATTGCTTTCGTTGATGTATGTTTGTTGGACTAGTATGAACACTTCTATTTTATTTCCATACAGGAAAAAAAAGCACGCGTTCCCCTTGCCTGCTTGAGAAAGACTGCTATTTATGTTAAACAAGCAATTAGCTGTTGTAGAATTCGAAGGAAGAGTGAAATCTAAGACGTAGCCTTTTTGCGTCAGTCAATCCCATTTGTAGGAATGAATCCCCGCGTTTGATTGCCAATCAGAATTGCTTATTGAGTGCGTATGTGTCCTATACAATCACTTTTGGTGGCTAGCTACTGTACGAGTAAGCGCTTTTATCCTTCCACACAAATCTGAGTCCAATTAACCAACCCTAAAGTGATGGAATGATCGGGTGGCATGGAATGGTGTGATCCGATTTTCGCTCCCCAGACCATGCTGTGGTGGTGCGCCATTTGCCACTACACTACCTTACCAAGAATTCATATCTCTCCATACCTAGACTTTTTTCAGTGAGTTTCACGACATTGAAATGAGCCTTTTAAACAGGCCGAATATAAGAATGACCATCTCATAAATGAAAAAAATAGGGCTGAAGTTAAGCATAGAAAGCATCTCTTTTCGAGCATACTTCTTCTTTCTAGCTCCATTAGGAGCGCAGGTAGGTCCGATTCTTCTGGAAAGGGAGAATTTCCGAGAAAAAGAAGGCTTTGATGACACAAGGCGATGTTCATTTCGTTGTTCTTGTTCATTTCCAACATCACAGATAAACTCAGTAGCGCTGAGAGGCATTCATGTTCGCCCAGACACACCCCTTAGTTGGGTCCTCTTCTTGTTACTAGAGAATAACAAAACTATAATATGTAGGTGGAAGGAATCTTTTGATAGTACTGTAACCTATTCACNTTAAGCATAGAAAGCATCTCTTTTCGAGCATACTTCTTCTTTCTAGCTCCATTAGGAGCGCAGGTAGGTTCGATTCTTCTGGAAAAGGAGAATTTCCGAGAAAAAGAAGGCTTTGATGGCATAAGGCGATGTTCATTTCGTTCTTCTTGTTCATTTCCAACATCACAGATAAACTCAATAGCCTTGAGAGGCACTCATGTTTGCCCAGACAAACCCCTTAGTTGGGTCCTCTTCTTGTTACTAGTGAATAACAAAACTATAATATGTAAGTGGAAGGAATCTTTTGATAGTACTGTAACCTATTCACGATTTCGAATGAAGTGAATTGAGCTAACAAATGAGTTTTGATCCCGAGAATATCCCACGAAAGAACATTGCTCAGTAATTTCATTTCGAACAGTACGGTGAACTTCTCGTGGACAAAAAGCGCTAATTGTTTAAAATCATGGCGGAAAGCAATTCTTTTTGGTGAATTTTGATCTCAATTCGTGGCAAATTACTTTTGGGCTGAACCATTCATCATTTGAGCTTTATAAGAATTCGGTATTCAAGAAGGAAAAATGTTTCTTACTAAGATTATTGTGCAAATGAACTCTGTACTCGAGGGCAATCAGTCAAACAATTAGGCACTGTATTCGATAAAAGCTTTTTCTTACATCTGTCTTCCTTCCGAGATAAATCTAACTACTGTAGACTGCTCCCACATAATTAATAAAAGCTCGAAACTGAAAAATGCGTTGCCTTAACAATTACATTGTCGACTCATAGCGATCAGAAGTATCGTGAAGTTAGAACTGCCCTATACCTGCGCGTGAAGTCAAACTGTTGTAGCTTTGTTTATAAAAGTACTCCTGACCTTTTTGAAAACGCTATCTATCTGATCTGATAGCCAATTATCATAGGTGTAATCTTCAATCAAGGCAAAATAGGTATAATTTGTTAATTCACCTTAGCTCTCTCTAAGTGAAGTTTTAAAGTTCTACGAGAAGCCAACTGAGCTGTATTTCTCTGTTTACGTTTCCTATGGAGCCGAGCTTTGTTGACAACCCAGTTGCTTCATTATGTGGGCCGACAAGTCAGTGTGAGAAGTGACAAGATCACGTTTCGCTTGAATTAATCCACACCGGGATTAACCCACCAAGGAGGGGCAATCTACTTACCGCGGGACTTTGAATAGAGACCCAAATAATTCGATAGAGTTTTGAATGCTGTTAACGAAAATGGAAATTGAAACTGCATAATGATTTTCCTTAAAAAGTTATGGGGGCTCGAAATTTGCTTGACAGTAGTACCAATTGGATATGCGAACCCGTCAAGAGCCGACGTGGCTCAGTGGTAGTGGTCTCGCTTCATAGCGTAGGATGCGGGTTTGCTCCCCACTTTCGTCAGCATTTTTGCAAAGTTTTTTTTTCACTTCATTAAGGGCTCTCGAAACCTTTTCTGGCATTTATTCTAGTGAAAGCCTTGATTCTGCTTTCATTTTCTTTCGTCGTCAGTGCTATCGAGGCTATCTGTGAGGTTGCAAATGCCAAAATGAACATTGTCTGAGGAGCTTCCTTCTTACCAGAAATTCTCCTTTCTATGAGATGATTCTCCTTCCAAATATCCTTTTGGAGGTATTGGACGCAATTGCACTAAAATTACAGCTCAAAAGAAGTAGTATGCTATAGAAGAGATGATGATCGGCCAGACTGCAATGGCAGGAGTGAATGAAATTCCACAGCATTTTTTTGTGTTTGGTGTAGAATCGGGGACGAAGTAGTGGCAAGTGGCGCACTGGGTCAAAGCCTGATTGGGTCCTGGATCGAACCAGTTGAAGCCGATCGAGGCTTTCATACCTTCGGGGTTTGGTAGCTGGCAACAGACTCGTCTCAGAAAATGAAAGCTATGAGTTGTGGTGGACATGGCTGGCCCCTGCAAGTCCTTGTAGAAGACACATACGCACTCAAAGAACTACTACAATTCTGACTACTTATGCGGAGGCGCATCATAGAAACGGAGTTGATTGACACCAATAGACTTGATCCTTTTTTCCGATTTATGTCGATTCCTATTTTAATGAGTCAATATGAATTGATCAATGCCTTTGGCTTTTCCTTGCCTACTGTATTCTGACTTTACAACGCGGATACACTGGACCGAAAGGCTCAGGATAGAGTGCCAAGTAAAGCGAACCGCAAAGCAGAGCAAAATGTTAACGATATCGATTCGATAGGCACAGAAATCTTATACCCTTCATTTGAAATCACAGCTTTGCCTCCAAGAATGTCTCCATAGCCTACCGGACACCAGTTCTAGGGATGTGAGAGCCATTCGCGATAGTTGTACCAATGAAATTTCGCTCTGGATTTAGTGTAAAACAATGAGAATTACAACTAGATTAGCTTTCATGACATTGCAAGAATAATTTAATTTCTTAAGGACACGCTGGGTTTCTGCTCATAACGAAGTCTCCTTGCCTACACACCTTATTTCCTGAGATTCCGTAGAAGTGTTATAGACTTTTCCCCATGCACTGTTGGACTACGTCAGCGATATCTAACACCTTTTTGCACTTACACTCTTTCTTGCATCAGTACCGTTCGCTGTATAACGAGCAATTTCCCTTGCTCATTCTCACCTATGTATGGCCTCAATCGACCCTGTCAATTTTACAAAGTACTCATCCTTGCATTGCAAAATCCTAATCCTTCCTCTTGAATATGTCTACAATCGGATATAGCCCTTGGAGTTATTCTGAAGGCTGATTCGGTGTAGCGGGAAAGAGCGCCCACGATCACACCCATCACCTGGGAATCGGTTTCCATGGCGAAACCTGAACGAAACAATCAAACCTACCAATGTTCAGGAGCCAGTTGTTTGATACCAGATCGATCTGGAAGGGAAACACTGAATTGTATAATACATCA